AATAAAATGAAAACTGTTTTCAGGGAAACATGCATTTATTGTTAAGCATTCCCAGTGAAAATCAACATCTTTTAAAATGTGTGTTTATTTAAAAAATCATTTGTGTACAAAAGTGTTTGTGTAGTTTTTATTTTCAAGACAAAAAACACTGATGCTGCATTCCAGCCCCCCCGCTCCTCCTGTACAGGAAGTTCTGATGCTCAGGAACCAACCTCCTGCAGTATTTTTTATTGGTAATTTTTTTTTTTTTTTTTAAATTAGAAAAGTCAGAGTTTAGGGTGGAAAAAGTAAGTGAAAAGCAGGGTTCTTCAACAGTTGACATCAGCATTCATATGATGGCAGCCTCCTCCAGACACCACAACAGAGCACCAGCAGTTGCTGCAGATCGTTAAATGGACAAGTACAGCATTTTCACAGTACATTTCCTCATCTGTTGAGTCACGTATCTTAACTTACATTACCGACGAACGGCTCAGCACCATAAGCGACCGGCTAGCTATTCTGATGCCTACAAAGCAGGTAACAGCAGAGAAGGAACATCACAGCACAGCACAGTGCAAATGACTTGCAAGAGTGTGTTCAGCGAGAACAAACCTCAAGTTGAGTTGCTGCCTACAGAGCACTGCAGCTGCAATAACCAAGCAAGAAGCAAAAAGCGTTAACGACAGTTGGTCTTGTGAGTCTAATGATGAATCAGCTGATGACACTAACACCACAAACGGGAAGAGCAAGCTACATGATTTGCTGATGGGTTTGGAATAGATCAGAAAGCTACCAAGAAAGAAGCGATTGCCCCCTTGCCTAGCCGTAGGGGAAAGTTGTGCCTCGAAAATGAGGACGGTGACAGTGAAAACATCTATAAGGTCTTCCCAGAAAAAGCTTTAGGCACCCAGTGAGCATCTTTACGAGCATCTTTACTTTCACACTTTAGTTCTGCGATGCAACAGCCTGTATGATGAAATGCGCTTTCGCTATCTACCCTTGAGCCAACTGCTCATCAAAACCATACAAAACCACCACCTGATCACAAATCTCTGGCCACGCTCACGGAGGTGCTTCTCATCGACTATCAACAAAACACAGCAGGAGAGGACACCTCATCTTCTCCTTGTGTCTGCTCATCAGCAGACGTTTAGTACAAACAAACTTTCACTGCTAAATTATTTGACGTTTCCCCCCTTGGGCAAGCCTCCAAGTCTAAGCTAGCTTTTGTTGGTATTTAGGAAGGAAACAAGGGACATGCACATGGTTGGGTTTCCCCTTGCACTGAAAATGGAATACTTCACCTTCACAGTCTATGAGCAATGCAGTAAACAAGAACTCTTGCTTGAAACTGCGTTTTGATTTCCCCCCCCACCCCTTCTCCAATTAAATAAGCAATCCATACGCTCTGAAGTGCCTAGTCTGATTCACAGCTGTTAAGCTTAAATTTGCATAGTTTAAATGTTTCTGTTACCCACCCATATAATGCAGATTTGGCCTTACAAGGTAAGCTTCTTCCTGGGTATTTAATTCCTCCTTTCAGACAACAACAACAAAAAGATCCTATATTCCTTATGTCCGTGTTCCAATACTAATTTACTTGGAAAACGGTTAAATACAGTGATAATTAAAAAAAACCCAAGATATGTTCCTACACCATTAGTATCCAATTGCTCGGATAAGTACTACCGAACCAATTATAGTCAAGGCCCCATGTGCTCTGTGGCAAGCTTTGGTTTTTAAAAAAAAAAAAAAAAAATTGACTTTTGGAATATGCAGAATGAATAGCACCGAGTGCCGCATCTTTCCAGAAGGAAATGTTCCTAAGTTTTTGTCTCCGAGATATACCAGTTTGTCATAATGAGAACACAGCTTGTTGGCAGAAGCAACGGGAGGAAGCTGTGAGTTTGGCGAGTGCGGGGTGGGATACAGTCAGGGCTTTTGGCACTCATGGGAAAAGGGAGGCTTTTGGCAACAGGAAAGGGCATTTCTCTACTTTGGAACAAAGCTGTACTCTTTGAGGAACTGGATGAGATAGGAGTTTCTTGTTCCCCACCAACAAAACAAACAAGGGATAAACCACTTTGCTGGATGCACATTAAAACATTCAGCAGTGAAATCTGATTGATGCTCTGGCAATCAGTAAGCGTCACTACCAATAACTTGTTTAGAAAAATGGGGCCATTTAGACTTAAAAATTACTGCTTCAAGCCGTCTTCTTACACGACAGAGGAAGACAATGCAGGATTTATTTGTACTTCGAAAGCAACCATACCCATGTTTTATGTTCTTGTTGTCAGAAAGCGGTAAATGTGCAGCCTGAGTCCGCAGCTGGAGTGGACTGCGTGGCAACTCCACGTCTGTGAATGCACAGGGCCCTGAATATAGCGATGTTCAGTCACACAGAAAACAGAACTACCATTTTGTATGTACAAACTCACAATGATAAACTGAACACTAACAGCAAAATTCCTAGGGCTCAGCCCCAGCTGCAGTTAAACTAACCTCATACAACGTTATCCCTATATTCAACTCTGATAATTACCAAGAATACAAAAACATTCCTTATAAAGGACTCGCATGTCAAAATTCAGAGGGACTTCAGACCACAGATGTCTCCTTAATGCTGGGTCATGTTTCCTTCCCAGCTCACTTCATGAGAAGCTTCCCTCCTGCCAGCACCTGAGCTAGCATCAAGATATCTTTGCTACCAAGCACATGGATGGAGAGCAAAAACCAGTCTCCGACAGCTACATATAAGGGGAAAGGGGAAGACGAGTGAAGAAAATGAGGTACCTTCATGAGAAGTAGAACTTAAGAGGGCACTGTTTCAGAGGTGACCATGCTCACCTCAGAACCTTTTCCTCTTTTCTCCCCCTCCCCCTTTCCCTGGCTTCCTTTAGCCCTTTACAAACTGTTGGAAGAAACTGCTGTTCTTAAGAGACTGATCTGATCAAGAGACATGTTCAGAAGCCCGTAACTGAGAAGTTTTGTGTCCCCGACAATGATTTCCAAGTTCTTTCTTTGATAAATAGCAGCGAAGAACAAGGGAAAGTAGTCAGCAATTTATAATTACCACCAGGGTAAAAAAAAAAAAAAAAAAAAAAAAAAAAAAAAAAAGGTGTTGATGTAATCAAGAAGTTCTTAGCCTGTATAACAGAAAAGACAGCAACTTGAGATTAACACAAGTGGCATTTTGCCATAGTTTCCTACCGTCCCTGGTTTTCACCTAGCAAACCAGCTGAACAGTAGCAGCTTCTTGTTAAAAAAAATAAATAAATATAAGGAAAAACAAAACAACTCATTTCCTTTGGCATCGTTGCAAATGATTTACACTAACTCGAGAAAACCGATCACTGACTACACCTTAAAAAGCAGTAAGTATAGAGACTAAGCAAATGCATTTAGTATTGCACTGATATGAGTTCAAAGTATTTACTGTCTGTGCCCTGAAATATTTTAAGTTTGGACACATCAGACAGAGCAGTACAGGGAACATTCCTGAACTAGCTAGGTCTCTACAGCTCTACTTTCTGGTTCTGTTCCCCTACCACTATGCTCCAGATATTTATCAGACACAATAATGTTCCTGATTTCCTCCAGTATGATTTATAAACAGACTGTCTATGAAGTGTGAAACTATTTCAACTTATACTTCATAGCTCCAGAAAAACCCCAAACAGACATATATTTCCCTGCCCCATTAATCCAGAGTTCAGGAGAAAAAAAAAGTGTCATGGAAGAGATGACTTATACAGTACTCCATTATCCACAATCCCCACTCTCTAGTCTCAGGATTTCTCTGAACTTCCTTGTCAGATATATTCTCAAAAGTTAGCATCGTATTCACAAAGACATTACAACTCTCTTTAAATAGAAGTACTAGTGTTTGAAGTTGCAAAACTAATAATTTTCAAGCTTTTGCACTCAGGATGAAATGTCATTTTAATACGAATAAAAAGACTGACTGTATGTACAAGCCAAGATAAGATTTCAGTTCTTGTTTATCAGAAACATCAATCCAAAAGAAAGCTAAATTGAGAACACGCTTCTACTTCTATGTGCATTTGAAGTATGTACAGTAAAAACACCAACACAGCCTCCATGTGTCAACTAGAGAAAAATGCAAGCAAGGATGAATTTTAAAGTACCTGGTAAGCAATCCTTAAATTGAAGCCCAAAATAAAGCTAGAAAACCGCTGCAAAAAACAGCTGATTGCATCATATCAAGTACTCAAAGAAAAATTTCTTTAATTCTCAGTATGCGAAAGAATCAGCTTTTTCCTCCTTCAAACCCAGTGAAGTCATACGATCCAGAATGCACTGAAGAACATTTTACATCTATTTAAGACAAAAAAAAAAAAAGGAAAGAAAACCAGCTCCATCTTTTTGTGCTATATCGAGGCATACTCCTTATGAGATTGTGTGTAGAAAACATGACGGATGAAAATCATTACTGATAATTCAAAATATATTTTTTAAAGGGGAGTCTAGACTACTGTAAATGGCACACACAATACCCACAGATGATGAAACATAATCTAGTGAGGATTTTCAGCTGTATGATGTCAGGGAGAGGAGAATCAGGTTTCCCAATTAATAAGCTAGAAAGAAGCCGGTTCTGAATAGGTCACCATTTGGAACTTTGGGTACGTCTTGAAAGTCTTTCAGGAAAAAAGTTACAAGAACACTCGAGTATTTCAATGGTGCTCTCTTCAGCGACCCTACCTAATATGTCTATTAAGTACAAGCATGCAAATATAGGTCAATCCACAGGCACACAGGATCCATGTTAAAAACAGTAAGATAGCTGTGATGAGTGGCACCAACAGTTTTGATGACTAACACTCAAAAATGTTGCTTTCTGAATTACTAAATCAAAATCCTGAAGCAAGTTCCTGCTAGTCCTTGTCACACTGCTAAACACTAAAGTAGGCATGTTTTTCCCCCATTATTTTAGCTGAGCTCAAAGAATTTTTACAATATTTAGTAAGAAAAAAAATTAAAGTATTTCCCCTTTTTAAATTTACACAGACGTTTAATTAGCTTTATTTACAGAGCGGTTTTTTCAGTCTCCAATAGTGCCTAGATAGCATCATCAGGCAAGAGTGCCAGTTTTAAAAGAGAATCTATATAGAATCCTAAAAATAACAGATGGTGATGCTCCTCCAGAAGGGGCAAGCTGGACTACTGAAGCAGCTCTCTCTACATGGCTCAGTTACTCAGGAGTAATTCTGTTGCAGTCTCTACATCCCATGATTTTGAAGACAAGGCCACTATTACTGCATTCTGCAATGAGAAAACAAAAGCAATAATATTTTCAGTGTGTGAACCTGCAGCTCTGAGAAGTGGAATGAAAAGTTCACAGATTAATCAAGACACATTAGTTTACCATTTGTTAAATCCTAACTAATAATTTATAGAAAAATTGTTTCAAAAAGGCAAGGGTAGCTCACACGATTTACTAGTAACATAGTATTTTAAAAGTCCGATTCTTAAGAATAGTTAGCAAAACAGAATGATTAGACCTACAAAAGGTCATGGAAGTAACCAGTCTTCTTTAGTATACTAATGACTCCCTGTGTTTTTATATATATATATATACACACACACACACACACTTGCACTGCCCTTATTGAAAAATATTTAAGTTATATATACTTACCCTATCAAAGCCCATAGCACAAAGGTTTTCTATTTTTTTGGTGTATTCTGGACTAGAAACTGGTGCTCCAGCATACACATGTGCCCAAAGTCGAGCTGTCTGTTTAAACATTTCTGGATTTTGTTTGTACTACACAAAAGAGAGAGAAGGGAGAAGGGGAAAGTTAAATCAACTCAGCAATCCAACCAAAAAGCAAGATGATATGGCAGTTTCCAATCCATCATTCTTCCTACAATATCTTCAACAGTGTTTCACAGTGATCACGCTGCTATATTTGAAATGAAGTTTGGAGGTGAGGATTACACGTAGAGTAAACCTATGCAAGCATTTGATTTAATGCATTTGCCTATAGGTTAAATGACGCGCTATAGGTTTTTTTTATGTGTACAATCAGGTACTGCTCTCAATTGCACTGATCAAAAGTGTCGTAGCTATATTTAGCACAGCTACTGAAAATTTATATTCAGTGTGGCAGAGCACAAATTATCCCTATGTTAACATCTCCTGAATGTTCATACTGCATACTGCTCTAATATATTTCTCTAATCAGTTAAAAATATGCCTGGTTTTATACACTGCAAGTAGGTCTGCAGTTTTTCAGTCAGGGCTGACATTTTACTGCCAGGC